ATATATATATATATATATATATATATGTATATATATGTATAATATATATCCTACTGTGTTGTGTAATATATATTGTTTTCCTGGGATGTTTGTTATTGATAAGTTAATACAAAAAATATCAAACAATTAATAATAAAAATATCTGTTTATCTAGATGAGAGTATAGTGTTCCAACTACATCTGTCAGAGATTGATGAAAAAGCGGAACAAATGTGCTTCAATGTTAATGGCAAGGATATATATATTGATGTTTATCCATTGGAAGTGGTTGATAATGATGTTGAAAATGAGAGAATAGATATTGAAGAAGATAAAACCGTTGTACCATCAACAAGTAAAAATGGAAATGCAATTTTTCCATGGTGTGACTCGTCAACAAAAATCTTCTTGAAGGAATATAAACTTAAAAAAGAACTGGTAAAAAATCGGAAACTAAAAAACATGAAGAATGCGTATATGGAGATATCTAAGAGTCTGCAAGATAATGGCTTTAATGTATCTCCCTTGCAAGTAGAAAATAGATTTAAAACACTCAAACGTGCTTATAAAAATATGATATTACACAATAGAAGAAATGGGAGAGGAAAATATATATGCAGTTATGAACAGTGAGTAATTTTTATCTAAAAAAACTTTTACAAGTTGATTTAATTTTTTATAAATACATTTAAATACATATTTGCAGGGATCTAGATGAAATTTTTTCGTACAAAAACTTTATAGCTGATCTGCAAGATGCAGAAACAAAAGGAGATGAAACAGAATCAGAGTAAGAGTGACTTTTCAAGATTCAAGTTATTCATTAATAGTCAATACATTAATTACATAAATATTTATTACAGGTCTACAAGAAGTAGTAGAATTACAAATTCTGTTCTTAGCAATGAACATAGTCCTAGCAAGAACAGTGAACATATTGCCAGATTAGAAGTTCAGCATACAAAGTTACTTGAGAATGTACAGAGTAATCAGCGTGTATTAAAGAATTTAATCACCAAAATGGAGAACAAAACTAAAAATTTCAATGATATGCAAAATAAGATGTTACAAATATGTGTAGAGATGCGTGATATGCAGAAAGAAGCATATGCGCGTGCGGAAGAACAGAGACAGAAAGCCAATATGCAGAGAGAAATAATGAATAATTTACTTGATGAAATGTTGACAGTTCTAAAGTCTAAAAAGGAAGCATAATACTATATTAAATTGCATGTATTGTTCTCAGTTTTAATAGTTACAAAGTAATTAAATTTATTTATTTTGTTAAATACAGAGTCCAATACCTCTTGCTGTACATTTTGCAATTTTATTAGAAAGCTAAGTTTATGTACAAAAGAATATCAAAAAAGTGAAAAGCTTTTTAAAGAATTCAGATTCCTTAAATATTCTTTTTACTTTTTGATTTACTTTTATACACATATTCTGACTTTTATTCTAAGATTATAGGATAAGAATTGAGGAGGCTGGATATTCAGTTACATATATCTGTAATATTTTTCATAAGAAATAAACACACGTATTTATGTGAAAATAATTTGAAGCTTATTTTGCATCTTTTAATAAACCAAATAGGAGCGAAACAGTTTTTAATTGTAGAAGAAAAAGTTTGACTGTTCCATAAAGTGATTAGTATGTAGGCCATTAGTTTAAGCAACTGTAGCTTGATTAAAAATTTGCAAATCTAATAGAGCTTTTTATTCAGCTCTATATTACATTTAATATACATATATATCCTAATCGCCAACAGACTCACAACTAACATACACTACATCCTAAATGAAGAGACAAAATGCCATATGTGAATTGATATGACATATTATATACATAATAAATATAAGGACGTCTAAAGACGTTCTAAAAACGTCTTAAGTACAACATCTTTAGGACAACCTAAAAATGTTTTTTAATTTCTCTAACAATTGACATTTTGAATTTTGCAACAAAAAACTTCAAAAATAAAAAAAAAGACATTTTAATTATTTAAGTATTTTACGAGCATTATAACACTATCAAAAGTAGCCCAGAAGCATGTAGAAAAATTAAGATTACTCACTGGAACGGCTAGAAACGCTTCATTTTAGCTGGGATTTTAAAAAATTGTTAACAGGAGCACATGATGATATAGGAGCCATTGTAGGAGCTAGTACGAGAGTAGTGTCATCTTTTGGTCAATTATTGCAACGACGAGAGCACTCACCATCGGTACACTTATCATCAGTGATTTCGTTATGTTATGTTGCAACAGCTGATAAAAGATGGCACTATTCTCGTACGAGCTCCTACATTATCATGTGTTCCTGATATAATTTCACAAAATCCCGGCTAAAATGGAGCGTAAAAAAAAAGAGAGAAATAGTACGTCTGCTCTTTTCTAATGTTCGAAGCTAGCCAAAGTGCGGAGCTCACATGTACGTACGTGGCTTGCGCATATATGCGGTATTTCCTCTTTCACACTGCTTGCTGCTGCGTTTCAAATCTGGCGTCACTGCCGCGACGAACCAGCTGACGCAATCTGATGCATCATGAAACCAAGCTTTACATCCAACGAATACATCGTATGCTTCCTGTCGCTCACATGTCTTGCGGTTGTGTGCTAACATATTTTCTTATTTATTGATATATTTATTAATTTATTGGTAACAATGCTCATTTCAACGAACGAGGGCAACCCGAACACGTTAAAGCTGATTATTGCGGCTAAATTAGCTCAGGAATCTGTGGACGTTAAAATCGTAAAGCCTGGTGGTGAGTCATTAACCTCTTCCTGCTTAGGTTTCGTTTTATAATTATCTCGTAATTACATAAAGTCTCAACAAAGTCAAGACAGATATTTACAAAAAGGAATTATATGTATATGCTCTTCGTTTAAACATTACCTTTGATTAATACATATGATTTTGTTTAATAACTTTGCTTTCAACTATCATGCAATAATGGTGTGTATTATATTATGTACACAGATGCTGCGCTGAGCCGTTTACCAACATTAATTACATCCTCAGGGTTATCATTATTCAGTATCTCTTCAGCACTGCGTTTTCTATTGCCTGTACCTAAACAATTAGAGGTTCTTAATGATAGATGGTTGGAATGGGAAATTTCTCAATTACAGGTATAATTTTTAAAATATTCAACATGAAGAGTTTCTTGAAGCACATTGAAATTTAATATATTCTTTACAGCCAGCTATATTGAGTAATGCTAGTGAAAGGACTTCTAAAATTTCACACAAATCTGACTTATGGTCTTTATTGAAAGATCTCAATAGGGAATTAAAGGACAAACAGTACTTAATTGGGGTAATTAATTAAATATTTTAGATTTATTTATTTTTTATTTTTTCTATTTTATTTTTTGATTTTTCTTTTCAGGAATATAGTAATTTATCACCAGCAGATATTTCTATTTGGGTAAGCCTTTGGAGTACCATATTACTTGCGGACGTCAAAGATGATATTCAAAGGATTTGCCAAATGTATATAGCTGGCTAGTTAATATGGAGAAGCAAACACTTATTCAGGTAAAGCATTATCATGTAATCATTATTTTACAAATCTGAATTTGACATATAATTTATTTATTCTTTATATGCAGGAATCTATTAAAGAGTTTAATTTTGAAAGAGGCGTAAAAGCTATCGCAAGT